TGGGACAGCGGGCTCATCCCGGGGTACAGCAAGGGGAGCAGGCAGGAGGCACAATCAGGGGAGCGCCCAGGCCTGATCTCCAGCTCTCCCTGTGGCGGGTGAGGGATTTACTCCAAACGTTTCATTCTTTAAACTATTTCTCAAGTAGGGCTAATCTGTGCCAGTCTCTGACTTTGAAGGGAGGGGACGAGGGGTGCTGTGTTGGGGTTCTCCTCCTCGGGGTCACTTTTGGTTGGACACAAGGATCCCCGAGCCTGCGGAAGCCAAGGTGGGTGTCTCTCAGCCTCATTAAAGGGAGAGTCACAGACACAGGCCTAGAGTGTGGCAGAAGTGTCTTCCTCATCCTGAAAACACACAGTGAATCGCTGGGGACAGGTCTTCTCTGGGCCCTACAAGGAGCCTCCGAATGGCCCATTATTTCCCAACACCTTCTGTAACAGACAGCAAATTCACAAATATTTGCCTTTGTAAACATTTAACTTGCTTCCTGAACTCAGCAAACACTGGAGGGCAGAGCAAGGCTTGTCTGCAGAGTAAGTCATAAAAAGCTGGGCAGCCGGGTGGCCCCTGGGGAGAAGCTGTGGTCAGCACCCTTTATCCAGAGCGTCCTGGAGCCTGCGGCTGGGCTGACCCCCCAGACCCCAGCCTGTTAACCCCCCAGCAGCCCCACAGGGAGGCCCAAGCAGACAGTGTGGCAGAGGAGGAAGGGGCTAGCCAGGGCGCAGGGTGGGGATGGGCAGAGCCCCAGTCCCTGCACGCAGAGCAGACCAGGTGAGTGACCACTGCGCGGCCCTGTTCTGCATCCTTGAGCACCCCTGTGTGTTTCTGTGCAAAGTGGCCCAAGCCCCGGCCCTGGCAGAGGAGTGTGATGTACCCAGCACAGGCGGGATTTCAGCAGGTGCTTGAGAACAGCTCCTGCGACTTGTCCAGCGCTGGTCCCTGCCCGTCTGAGACTGTCTTGGGGGTGCGGGGAGGGCAGAAGCGCAGGGGAAATGCCCAGCAAAGTGGCAAGCCCTGCAGTTGCTCTGAAGAACCCGATTGAGAAAAGGAAGAGAAACCCCAAATGAATCTCTCCGTTTTTAAAATAATCCCCTCAGGAAACAGGTTTGGCAAATTTGCTTTCAATACACACACAAGATCACAGGTGCTTCCCCACAGGTTTCTCCTTACAGAGAGGTAGAACATTCTGAAAGGAGGGAAGACAGATTTGATCTGTGGCTTCTGCTGTATCGAGGCGGGGAGGGCCCTGGAGCTACACGGAGGATTTGGGGCCGCCCCAGAGCCTCTGCAGACGGGAAGGCTCCCCTGTGGGGTCTGAGCAGGGAGTCTGGGCTGCCCTGCTCGGGGCAGGAAGTCACCCTCAGCCAGCGCTGGGCTCGGGAAGGGCGCCAGGCCTCCCCTCCTGCTTGCTTTCTCGGGCCTCCAATGAGCTACCACGGGCTCACACTGCTGTGAAGCAGCACCCCTGAAAGCTGTTCACAGGCCCGTTGGCACGAAAACCACTTTAGTCAGGAAGAAAGAAGACAACTTTTCCTTGGCCACCCCAGAGAACCCCTAGGACAGGGCCTCTGGGCCTGGCTGTACTCAGCATTCTCGAGCAGATGAAACACTCAGCTGCCCGGGCTCATGTCTGGCAATTAGATCAGAATTTCCAGAGTGGAGTCAGGGCCCAGGATCTGTTCCAGGTGACTTTCTTTCCAAGGATGCTAAGGAGCAGCCAGAGTGGAAAGGCCCACATCGCCGCTAACACCCGAGGCCTAGAGAGGAGGCTGGCCGTCACGGCTGCCACCAAGGGGCATTCTCGGCCCCAGGCACTGCCCGAGCAACCACAGTGTGCCTCGTGTCACAGCCCTGCAGCTGCTGTGAGGTGGGAGCATCACTGACTCACTGACAGATGAGGGCAGGGAGGCCCAGAGGTCACAGAGGCCCAGAGGTCACAGAGCCGGGGAGTGGATAGGCTGGAACAGAGCCCAGGCTGACAGCTCAGCCCACATCTCAGCCTCTGCCCCAGCACTCAGGGACGCCTGCCCAGCCCATGGAGGGCCTTCCCGATGTCCTTCATAGCCCAGAGCAGCAGCAGTGATTACCACGACTTCCCAGGTGGGGAAACTGAGGACTTAGTCCATGGAGACTTGCCCCAGATGACTCGCCTCGGGGCGAGCCCACTGTTCCCTCAGCAGGCTGGCTGCAGACCCTGGCTTCCTGAGGCGGTTGGTGTGATGACACCCCTCTGTGGAGAGGAAACTGAGGTCTAGAAAACCAACCGTAGGGCCACCTGTGTGGCCCAGCTACTCTGCTAGGTGAGGTGACGGGGCCACCTCCTCCCACTCCCCATGGTCACCCCCATCACGGGACATGCTTCACGTCCACTGAGAGCATGTGCCCCACTTTCATGAGCCTACACTAACCACCACCTCCCCTTTTCCTCGAACTAGGGGAAACTAGGGGTCACCTCTGGGTGCCACGACTGGAGCCCCTGTAGCATCAAAGCAGCCGTGACTCTGGCCAGCACCTGTGGGAAACACCTGCTCCTTGTGTCAGTCTGCGGAGCCAGGGAAGGCGCTCGGGCTGTGGGGCGCTGGCCCTCTCCCCACACCGCCCTCCCAGACAGCTCCCATGGGTGTTCAGGGAGGGAGCAGCGGCACGTGGAGGAGCCCCTGGGAGCTTTCACACGTCGGGAGCAGCCCAGCACAATGGGCCTTCGCAGGGCTGTGTGATCTGGGGCGCAGAGCAGCTCTGCTCCTCCAGGACGTTTTAGAAAAGGCTCGTGGCTGGAGAACAGAACGCTGCAAGGTTTAAAGGAGAGAGTCAGGCTTTCCCTCCACTTTATAAGCACACCGGGGTGTGTCTGAGCACGGGCTGAGTCATGTACCTGGGGTTCACCTCAGCCTCCCAGGCAGCTGAGGGCAGGTGCCCTCTCCCGGCCTCAGTGTGCTCATCTATAAAAGGGCACCACATGGCCCCTCACTGCCAGGCGGTGAGGAGAGCAAATGACCTGATAGGGGAGCCGACTGCTCCCCACCTCCCCCTTCTTCCTTTCTCATGCAGGTCTCATCTGGAGGGGCCTTGGGCAGAGAAAGGGGCCCCCCACTAGGAGACAGATGGAGCCACTTACTAGCTGAGATCCTCCAGGCCAGGGGCCCACAGGAAGTTCAGTAACCTCTGCAAAGCAGGATAAAGACACCTTCCCTGCCTGTCTGGGAATTGTGGGGAGACTCACTGCTGCCACAGTTTGGAGGGAAACGTGCCAGTACCCACGGGGCTGAAGTGTGCACCCCCCTGGCCCAGAAGGCACCTCCAGGGGCATCTCCCTCGCGAGCAGATGACGCACCAGGGTGTCTCTGCAGTGTTTTCTAGCTTGATGCTGGGAACGAGTGACACCCTGCAGCCCAGACCACATGCTGGGCAGCACCAGCACCTGTGTGGCGTGTTATACGGTGCTGAAGCAGTGGGCAGTGGGCAGCTCTGGGCGGGGCACCTGCTTGATTTGGGATGATGTGGCTGAAGGTTGGGAGAGGTTCTCACCTACGGGTCTCTGGGCCTGCCTATGAGTGACAGGTGACATTCCACCTTTGAGAAACCAACGACGAGCAGAAATGCTGGTCCTGGGTCTATGAGGACGGAGCGTCCACGCATGCCTTGCCTGTGCCAGGCTCTTCCAGGACACAGTGTCCACATCTGGGTAGGAAGCAGCCTGGCCTGGAACCAGGTCTTGAATCTAGAACAATTCTCTCACTCACTGAGCATGTGATCTTGGGCCTCGGACGTCGCATCTGAGCACGGGGGTCTGGGCCAGTGGTGGAAAGGTCCTTCCTGGGCTGGCTTCGCAGGGCCAGGGCCCTAGGCCTCTGCAGAGCACCTTCCCTGAGCATCTTTCTTCCCTGAACAGTGAAGCCCTGTGCCAGCCACCTGGGGAAGCTCTTCCCTGAGTGAGGGACATTGAGATGGCCCAGCTCTGCCTGGAATCTCAGGGACTGTGTGACTCGGCCCCTGAATCACAGGCAGGTTTGCAGACAGACCCACAGCAAACACCCGCCTCTGTGCGTCTCCTCCAACCTGGCCATCAGACTAAACAGTAAGTCTGGGCCTCAGGAATTCCCTCCTGGTGTGATGTTCTGAAGACAGAGCCAAAAACACCCACCCTTCCCTCTCTGTCCTGCACGGACTTCTCCTCACAGGCAGGAAGGGCACGGAGCTCTGTGGAAGAACTCTTGCTTTGTTTCCTGCTGCTTCCACAGCTCCCAGAGCAGAGCCTGGCACACAGCAGGCCTCAGTAAGTGCTGAGCAAAGGAGGACTCCCCCCTTCAGGAGGACCCTCCCTGCGGGCAGGGGAGAGACCCACCTCCTCGTCCCTGGAACCAGCGGGCTGGGGGGTGTTGAAAAGGCAAAGGGGTGTGGGACCAGGAGAGTGGGGCTCCGGCCACGTGCCCTTGAGACTCAGGTCACACAGACCAGCACCCACGGCCACGCCTACTCCCCACGCCTGCTCACAAAACGAAGGCGATGGTGTCTGACCTGCTCTCCCGCTCGGGCGAGGGCCCCCACGGTACTCACCGCTCACGGTGACCTGCGTGCCTGGGCCCGACTTAAGTTCTGTGTCGCCAGGGGCCCCTTTCTGGAACTTCACACAGTAGTAGATCCCCGTGTCTGCTGGGGTGATGTTACTGATGCGGATGGAAAAGTCCCTGTCATCTCTGCCTATGATATTTGAGGCAGTGGTCACTCGGGGGAAGGGGCCTTCTTCTTTTCCTTGTTTGAAACTGTAGACCATCTGCCGGCCTGGCTCCGACCCCCTGAACCACTTAACAGACCCCACAGGGAGCAGGGAGGTCAGGGTGCAGTTCAGAGTGGCCGTCTGTCCCGCTGCCACTGACACGAACTTGTCGGGCTGAAGCACCTGTAGCTCCTCCTCGCCGGCCGCTCCTGCAGGGAAGCACAGGGGTCACTCGCCCGTCCCCGGAGACCCTGCGGGCTTTCTCAGGTGTGAGCACAGGGACTCACTGACAAGCTCAGCACACGGCAGTGTCATCACCTGGACCCCCACAATGAACCTGTGGCGTGAGGCTGTTCCAAATGAGGAAACTGAGGCACAGGGAGGTTGAGCGAGGTGGCAGAGAGTGGGCGTAGTGCCTGGGCCCTCTGCATGTATCACGTCTGAGCTGGGCTCTGGCTTCAAGTGTGAATTTACCAGGAAAGGGTAACAGTGCTCCTGACAGAGGGAACAGCTGGCCAAGGCTCAGCGGGTGGCAGCATGGTGGGGGGCTGGTAGTGGAGGGGAGGAGGAGGTGATGTTCAGGCCTGGCCCAGGGAGCAGGTCCAGACCAGGGAAGCGACTTAGAGCTGGGGCACATGGAGCAGCGGAGAAGCAGAGAAGCAGGAGGCCTTGGCTTTGACGAGACTTACAGCTCTCTGACTGCGCTCTCGGGTGCAAGAGGGGTTGGTGCTCGCCGGCTTCGCAATGCCCAGCGCCGAGGGGTGTGAATGCTGCCTCAGTGCAGTGGCCCCTGAGCCCAGCTTCTGCCCCGACAGTCGCTAGACCCCGTCTCCACTGAGCTCAGGTACCTCGGCCAGGCCAGTGTCCACAAGCGGCATCTGGTCTTTGGAATCCTCTGACCTGCTTTGGAACCCGGCTGGCTTTTCCACCCTGGTTTAGCCACCGTTTTGAGTGCCCACTTCCTTACCCACACAGCAGGCAGGTGTCCCCGAGCCCTCTGCTCTGTTCTGGGGGGAAATGTGACCACACATGCATGTTTCTGTCTCTGAGAAATCACTCCACCAACCCTGCTGCGCCTCACAGGCCAGGCTGCACTGGGTGCTGCGTGCTGGGGACGCTGGGTGGGGGGCCAGGTCAGGCTACCAGCTTGGGCAGCTACTACAGAGTGCTGGAGTCCCACGGTCAGCAGTGGGGAGGCGCCGATGTCCCAAATTGGAGAATATTAGGTCACAGAGACAGAGACCCCAGGCAGAAGAGATGAAAGGAAGAGGGGGATGTGGCCAGCACAGGTGAACAGGCCGGTAAAGATGTGAGACAGGCTGCGGGTGCTCAAAGCAACACACAGTCAGGGGCCCCAAGTTTAAGCAAAGTAGGGGGCGGCGGGGGTTGGGGGACGAGGAGAAAGGACAGATCACCGCGACCTTGGAGAAATGGTGGGGTTGGGAGAACCACGGAGAGAGCAGACGGAGAGGAAGACGGGGGGTGCAGCAGAGAGGGGGTGTGGAGCAGACTGGTGTGGGCGGGGGGGGGGGTCCTTACGCCAGCCCCTTCCCACCTCCCAGCCAGCCCCTTCCCACCTCAGAGCACCCTGGCTCCCAGCGTGACCTTGACCGTCCCAACTGAGCCGCCGTTGCCTTGTGTATCAGGCAGGGCTGCAGACCTGACCATACCCTCTGGGTCCGTCCCGCTGGGCAGGACAGACTGAATTTGCCCCCCAGCCTGGGGCCTGGCACCACCTCAGGGGCAGGAGGAAGATGCCCAGGGGAAAAAGACCCATGGACTCTAATCTGCCTTGATGGGGACAACCAGGCCTCAGAACAGGCCTCTTTGCCGCCTGCCCTTCGTTCCAGTCAATTCCCAGGCCAGGGTCTCCCTGGTCCTCCTGGCAGACAGCAGGGACAGCCTGAGGTCAGCCAGCCTGCCCGGTGCAGGGGAAGAAACCAGCGGACACAGAGCCTGGGGCCGGTGGTCAGTGAGAGCATGGGGAGGTGGACAGGCCTGCCGGGGCGTTCTGGCGGGTGTGCAGTCCAGCCGGGAGACTGGACAAGCCTGAAATGCCACCTGGACCACCTGCAGGAGTGCAGGATCCCCTTTAACCAGCCCGGCAACCCCTCTCGGAGCCCCCATTCCATCTACAGAGTGGGGTGCCGGCATCCACTGCCTGCATGGCCCTGAGGACTCCGACACAGGTGGACAGTGGGTGCCTGCCGCAGTGGTGCGGGCTGAAGCTTAGTTTCAGGTCCCATTATATCAGACACTTTATTTCCATCCTCCATGTCTGAATGGCCATGTCGCCCCCTCTCCCACCCCGCCCCTGCCCGCCGCCAGCACATAACACCCGCCAGGAACTGTTTCCAGGCCCTGCCTGCAACAGTGTCTGTGGGGCCACAACAAATACATGCTGAATGGCCGCATTAATGGATGCAGGAGGGAGGGAGAGAGGGAGGGAGAGAGGGAGGGAGGGGTGTTACTTGCTGGGCAAATCCTCTCCGGGGGGCCTCCTTCCTCACCTGTGACAGGGAGATGCGACAGGCCCGGGTCCTGCCGCTGAGCCCTGCCCACGGGCGCGTAATAAATGGCAGTTATTATTATCCCTCTCAGTAACAGCACACCGGGCTGTGAGTCAGAAGCCGGTGGGGGCCGTGTGAGGGGGCTGTGGAGCAGGCGTGTGTGCTGCATGGGGCTATTCCTGTGTGTGCCGGAGGCCGGCAGTCACACCCCGGCAGGCGATAGGAAAATCTGGAGCGGGGTAGGGCCGTGGCCCCCCACCTTTTTTTTTTTTTTTTCTCCTTTTGAGTTCTCTTTATGATCAGCATCCCGATTTAGGAGAGTTTATTAATTAGCTAGTGTTTATAAAGCGTTTGAAGAATTTTAAAAGTGCGACGTATGTGCCAAATATTATTTTAATCTGTGTATGTGTTTTTTTTCC